AAAAAAAAAAAAAAAATCAATATATATATATAACGAAAATTGTCATTTTCTTTATATTGTCTATACAATTTATTAAACACTAGATATAATATCATAAACCTGTAAAACCTTATGTTTTCATCGTAACTGCATATAATTTAAGATGTTTTTAAATATCAAAAACTTATTTTTCTGGGCATCCTGTTACAGGGTAAGAACACCCAACGCTTGGTGAGCAGTAAGGCCTATAGATCACTTGGGTAAAACACAATTATTTTTATTTTTTATCTCCATTTCATGATTTGCACACTGTTCTTCTCTGTATATTTTAGCACTATTTCTATTCTTCCACTTCTTGCATCTTCCTTGTAGTGTAACTGAAGACAAATATTTATGTGCTACAATAGGTACTTTCTTATTGTTAATCTATTTTAGATTATAACTTGTTACTAAAATAATTACATATTATACAATAATCAGTATTTTCTCTGAAGCCACCTTTCCATAATTCATATTTACAACAATATTAGAGACATGTTAAATTATATACGGATTGTTCTCTAAGTTAAAATACTTTTCTTTTACTTGCGAGCTTTTCATCCTCTTACCAGAATCTTCATCGAACAACAATGTACTGAACAATACAAATTCGTTTATGTATGTAACACTGCTTTAAAGCATGTGACTAGGCAACAATCGTAACAATAACTGACATCTGGTATTAAAGTTATAAGATCAATTGGGTAAAAAGCAACTGTTTCTATTTTTCATCTCTATTTCATGATCTCACACAATGTTCGTTTCTGTATTTGGCAGCATCATTTCAATTGTTCTGCTTCTTTCATCTTCCTTTAAGTGTATAATATTATTGATTAACATCTAACAGTTTCAATAAACACCACTTCTGTAGCAAGTATCTGAAGACAAATATTTATGTGTCACATAATAACGTCCTCATGGTAATGTTCGCTAAAACGGATTCGAACCAGCGAATCTTGCGCCCTAACTTCCAAGACATGCCTGTCCTTGCGTAAAAGGAACACTAATAATATTTCATAATAATATAAGTGCCCTCTAGTGGTACCTTTTGCCCTGTGGCGTTACTGACTGACTACAATGATAAAAAATGTGATGTGAGGAATTGACATCATCAATTATCGATGGATAAGTATAAGACTATTTAGCAACGCTTAAACAATAAATACAATACTTACTGTGTTTTCTGTAAAGTAAACAATAAGAAGACAAAGGAAACTTAACGTAGACTGTTTTCCGTAAAGAAAAAAGTAAATTATTTTTGTTATTTTTCACAAAGGATAGAAAATTGATCACTATGAGACACAAGTTTACACTTACCTGACACCTTACTCTTGATCTTGTTTAGCTACACTACAGGTAAAAAAAAAACGTCTTCATGTTCAATAAACCTAAAAATTACATCTCAAACAGAGTTTTCAATTAGTTTCTTGTGTGATCTACTTTCAACGAAAGGCGTGACGAACCTTGAAAAGCTTGAACATATGTGTCTTGTGTGTCACACAGTTCGTTATGAGATTCTGGCTGGAATAAACACATTAATTGGCAAAATATTCGATTAAAGAACGTGTCTGATTGTAGTTCTCTCTCACTTTCCAAGTAAACAAAATCCAAATAGCTTGTTCACCATCATTAACTATGAGAATTTAACAATAACTCAATCTTAGGTTACACTACACACGAGTATTATAAATTTTAACACATGAAACATTAAAAACAAAAATCAGCTTTTTGCGAACTCTCATGCGAAAAAATAACAAAATGTCATTGTTTCAATTGTTTCGTGCCAGGGATACCATATTCTTTGTGTATGTGTGTGTGTTTGTTTGTTTTTAGTTGTGCCCAAAGACTGTTCATTATAAGACATTTCTATTAAGGTAATAAACCCTACTTTGCGTTAAACACAATTAAGCATAATAGTCTGTTCATTATACAATGATTATTAAGCATAAGTATGACATCATGCACTCTTCTCTCTCTGCTGTCTTACCTCATTGTGTGCCCTAACGTCTTATTTGTTTATACGTTTTAATGCTCCTTTTATTTTAAGCCTAATCGCAACGGTATAAAAGTAGGAAAACACCTACTGTAAAAGTTATAATAAAGATGCATGAAAGACATTGATTATTTATTTCTGCTCTCAATAATTAATGCTTAGAAAATTCTAACTCTCTAAGAATTACAATTAATCATCTATACAAAACAAGAAGAACTGCATCACATAAGTAAATTATTTACATAAACTTTATCATTAACTTAAGAATATGGTATGTAAGAAAGTTTGAATGAATTTATGTTACTTCGATTACCGTAAAATAACTCCATTCTCTCATAATAGAATCAAATTAAAATAGTAAATTTGCATGAGTTATTTTGCTTTCTTTGGACTCACGAGCTATTTCCAAATCAAACATCAGGATAATATGTAACGAGTAATCTGTGTAAAAATTATTATTGCAAATACTTAAAAACAACTTGTTTTTTGTTTTTTTATCAGGCCGGACAGCTGTGCTGCGTGTAAGCTTCTAATTGTAATGACAAGTCTATTAGCAACAGCAATTTTACCCCTACGGACAGACATAAGCACATCAAGTAAAGTTTTCTACATGAGTCTTACCCATACCTTCTCAAAACCAAAGCAATGGATATGGAATATTGTGCGGTATCGTGAGCGAAATATCCTAACACCAAAAAAACTCCAACATGTTGAAGGCCAAACATACATTCCTCATTCACAGACCTAGGACCAAAATGTAGAGACTCCCAAAAGAAAGAACTCGAGTAGTAGTTAGGGGGGAATGTTGATGATAATAGAAACCACGACATCAATATGATGTAGACTGTGTACCAGAAGACAGCGCAGTACTAAATGGGTTACTATTTTGTGTGTGAGTGTTATTCATGGAACAAAGAGTAATGAATTAGAAGTAAGTAAGTAATAATAGATAGAAACGTGGATGAGTTAAAAGTCATAGTTTTACCTGCAGCTCACAACCAGCATTTTCTCTGACTTGCTCAGATGTTGAAAAGAATGTTTGGAGAAAACCACATTTTATTGATATAATGCTAAACAATTGATATTGTGGCATATTCGAAGATAATTTATATTGTTTCTCTTGTGTGGTGATATTTAAAATGTACAGAGTTTTGGGTGTCATTCAAATATTATCGTCTCCAGCAGGATGTATAAGCGTTTTGCAGATATTTATTTTAAACATTTACTTTGGGAAACACTGTATAATAATGATGACTGAAGAATGTAAAAGGGTTGTTAACTGTGGCTAGTATTACTTGTTACACACTGAGCTGTAAATTTCTATATACAAGTGTGTGTACATAAGAACTGTTGACTGATACCCTGTTTGTTGTATTTAATGTATCTCCTATATTTTCTCTAACTTACATTTACCATGATTGTAATTGTGTAAAAAAACATATGTATATTATGTGAGTAATTCAGGCTTTATTTTAAGTAAGTGTATAGACAGATTTAAGTCAATAGATACAACACATTTAAAATATGTATTGAATTAAATGTATATATATATATATATATAAATATATGTGTGTGTGTATAAGGTTAATAATTTTATATATGGGTGTATCACATAACTGCTAGAAAATCTGTGCTGTAGAAATCAAAAATAGACATTATTTTGTTTTCTGTTATATTAACCACGTGGTTCTTAGCCTGCTAGCCCTAAGTTTTGTTACTATATTATTTGGCTTTCTATGGCTCTCTGCCATTGCGTATGAATAATTTATTATTTGACATTTTAACTGTTCATGCTAGTCATTCAGCATTCCTTTGATATACATTTTCAGGATCAAACGTTTTATTCAAAGCTCAATATTTATTTAATGTAAATTGTACCTGATAGTTTTCATTATTTTTTGTTGTTGTTTGTTAAGAAATAGTGTCGAGTGGGTGTTTAAACCTCATCCCACAGGAAAAAAAACATATTAAAACAAAATAACCCTAGGTTCCAGTTTAAATTCTTACATTTCTCATACGTTTTATGGATAAGATTCATACACTTTTTCATATCCAGTCTGATTTTTTAAACATGATTATAATATATTTACATCAAGTAACTTGGTATAAAACATTCCATAGAGAATGAGGTTAAATAGAACAATTGATTACAAAAGTTGATATCTCTTACCCACCCAAGTCGTTAGCCTTAATAATGAACTTTGTCTACTAATTTTCCTTTTGATTTGCAGTTCTTAACTTAGAACATAGCTATTAGTTTCCGTTCATTCGTAATCTTCTTGCACATCACGTGTGTCCACATAACTTAAATCAAGTGCCAAACTAAATACTTTGAACTTCATGATTTAATTCTTCGTCGATAGATTAAACTAAAAGCATGTTTCTGATTGTTTGTTGTTTTTCTTAATGCATACTTTAATTTCCAAATTAGTACAGTTTCAGAGTTTGGTGGGATTTAACGATGTTTTTTTTCTAAAATTATTATATAATTGCCATGTAGTTAGTTATCTTACTATTACCAGTTTTATGACACATATAGAAAATAAATATAGGTTTCCAGTGAGTGTTACAAATTGTATTCGAATAACACCATCATAATACACCGTTCTACTACTATCCTGTGAAATATTGTGTTATGGTGTTCGGATTAAAATATTTCTCCCGCTCTATCTCCTTTTGTTCTCTCAGTGGAATCTATTCTTGAAATTTGTTCTATGTGTTTAACCTCCAGGACTAATTTTAGGAACTAGTCATTAGTAGAAGCTCCAGTTAAACACTGAGTGCGATAGTAGTGTCAATCTAGTTTTGTCAGGAATGTAAAATAGTGTTAACAACTATGATAGAAGCGACTTAAATGAAATGGCTTTAAGTGTTAATTATGGTAAAACAAGTCAAAGCGAACTGATATACGGATAAAGTGCTTTAAGAAGCTTTAAGTTTCTTTCAAAATCTTAATTAATTTTTTCGCATCTTATAGTACGCAGCTAGTCAGTGACTGTATCTTGCTCATTATACGGGCCTTTACTAAATCGTTTTATCTTGTCTTGTTCACAGTGATTAAACTAGATCCGTACGACTGTACTATTTGGCTAATATGCTTCTGTTGGTTATTAATATCGGTGATATATTTCGAATAACCGCATTTTTGTTAGTGCCACATGAAAACATATCAGTATGCTAATCATCAATGCATACATTTTTTGAAGCATTTCTAATTGAGGTTTAAAAAGTAATTCAGATAAGTATTTCAAATAAAATAGCTTGAAACAAAGTTTTCAGCTAGAAAATTATATAAAGCAAAACGATCAATATATTTTTTAAAATTTGTAATATTTCTATGAGTCAATCTTTGTTGTCATAGGCTTTTTTTATCAAACCCAGTCTTTATCGAAAGAGATTTTACGTAATATTGTTGCTATGGAAACATCTAGTAAGGAGCGTAGCAGTATTAGCTGATTATATTATATTTCACAAGATATTTTTTTACATGATTTTTTTTTTTTTGCTTTCTTAGTAAAACTAAAAGCAAAAGAATGTTTTGATGGAAAAGTCACAATATTGATATATTGCAGTTAAACCGAGGTATTTTGTCATATTACAAAAAAAGTTATATCAAACCTCAATTCCATGAAAATCTTACCAGGTCTAAAAATAATGGAAAACTGGTAATTAATGATCAGTAAATTCAATTTAACTTAATTCAAAATATATTCATGAAAGGAATTGTGTGTTGGAACGAGTATAAGACTCACATTTTGAAATCGATGTCACTATAACTAAATATCTTTTAACATAGCATTAAGTACTTAACTGAAATCTGATGGTCTTTAACGAATAGCTCCTGACATCAGTGACCATTTCAAATGTTCTGTATTTATGTATCTCTTAGGATTTCAAATGTGCGTAATTGTTTGAACGCAGTCAATCACTGATTTCTACCATGACTTTTCATATCCATTTGAAACATGTTAGTCCTTTGTGAAAGAAATAATACATTTAATTATCTGAGTGTGTGTCGCGGTTGCCTATATGACAGTATTTAATTTTATGATAGACTAGTCGATGGATACACAACGCGTTTGTCAGCGATGCCAACTGTGAGTGATATTTAAGAATGTAAGACAAGGCTCTAGTTCGTGCGTTATGACTGTAATTACACTTTGTACTTGACTTGCCTTATAGTCGTTGCAGAGAAGCTGCCTTCTTGTTGTCTATTGGAAAGTTAATTTTTTTGGCTTATATTGCTATAAAAAGGTAAGATTATAAGTGATTATCGATAAGTGTTGTAAACTATAGCGAACAGTTTCTTCCTGTTGAACATAGCTGTTGTTTAGAATGATTGTTCTATCTGTTCTCTATATAAACGGAGGCTTGACTAACCAGTATTCCATTGTTGTTGTCTAAAATACAAAAACATCTCACTTTTATTTTCTCCTGTATTTATTCAGATATCAATGTTGAATTAAAATTAATTACAACACTATTGTTTTTGTATTTTATGTATTCTATCTTGAAAAAATAGAATTGAAATAGAAACATATTAATAAATTGTAACTTAACTCAACATCTTGTTTTAGGTACTGACAATACTTTGAAAAAGATAAATTAAGAATTATATTTGTTTAACTATAAAAGTTTTGAGTTTGAGCGCAGTCTCTGCTAAATCGTATATATATATATATATTAAAATAACCCTCTACAATGAAATGTACGACAAAGATGCAACTGATGTCAATTATCTCAGTAAGAGAATCAACAATACCGTTTACAGAAAGAATGTAACTAATGTCGATTATCTCTATAAGAGAATCAACAATACCGTTTACAAAAAGAATGTAACTAATGTCGATTATCTCTATTAGAGAATCAACAATACCGTTTAGAGAAAGAATATAACTACTGTCGATTATCTCTATTAGAGAATCAACAATACCGTTTACAAAAAGAATGTAACTAATGTCGATTATCTCTATAAGAGAATCAACAATACCGTTTACAGAAAGATTTTTGTAAACGGTATTGTTGATTCTCTAATTATGATAACCGACATTAGTTACATTAGTTTTGTAAACGGTATTGTTGATTCTCTAATAGAGATAATCGACATTAGTTATATTCTTTCTCTAAACGGTATTGTTGATTCTCTAATAGAGATAATCGACATTAGTTACATTATTTTTGTAAACGGTATTGTTGATTCTCTAATTATGATAACCGACATTAGTTACATTAGTTTTGTAAACGGTATTGTTGATTCTCTAATAGAGATAATCGACATTAGTTATATTCTTTCTCTAAACGGTATTGTTGATTCTCTAATAGAGATAATCGACATTAGTTACATTAATGTAACTAATGTCGGTTATCTTAATTAAAGAACCAACAATACCGTTTACAAAATAAAATACAAAATCGCCTTTTACACCTTACAATTTTATATTTTGTTTCATTCTTAAATATGTTATTTTAAAAATAAGAAAATAAAGTGGCATTACAATCTCATCACGCACTAAGAAATAGATTATTTTTTTTTGTTTTCAACTAATTAATGGCTTATCGTACAGACACATAAGTTATAAACACTCTAAATTATGCTTGTTCTTAAGGCACAGGTATTGAACAAAGTTATTTATGGAATTTTAGATAGTTGTAACTAAATTTAACTTTACAACATTCTAGTACGAATGAAGTTTAAGTATCATTAAATTTTTTTACATAGAAGTCTTAGAATCTTTGACAAAACTGTATACGGTGCTTTCAAAATTCTAAAATTTTGTGACTAATTTGAACCATGATGAATCGTAAGCATAATATTCAATTCTTTTTTCCACTATTACCTGAAAATGTTTTTTTTCTTCTAATAATTGAATGAAAGACTGTAATTCGAGTTTTAAATTACCATTTAGTCTTAGTCTGCTCTATCTTGATAAGAATGTACCAATAACGCTATTTATTGACGCTTTATTCAACAATATATCTATACTCTATCTTGACAAGAATGTATAAATAACGCTATTTATTGACGCTTTATTCAACAGTATATCTATACTCTATCTTGATAAGAATGTACCAATATCGCTGTTTATTGAAGCTTTATTAAACAATATATCTAATATGCGAATATCTCACGATAATAATATAAAACAATATAATGGATTAATCTACATACATCGAGAATATTGTAGAAAAGGCACTTATATAAAACGATTTAAAAATTATATTTTCCAATCAAACAAGTGTTTATAACTTCTAATTATTTACTAACCTAATTTTTCTGGTTTGCTTGTTATCAAGCATAAAGCTACACAATGGGCTATCTGTGCTCTGCCTACCACGGGCATCGAAGCTCGGGTTTAGCGTTTTCAAACTTACCGATGAGCCACTGAGGGGGATATATTGTCTACTATAAAGACTTGTGAACTGATTGAACTGTCCTTTAAATTTTACCTAAACTATATTTCTTGAGATATTAAGTATCATTTAGTTGTTTGTAGTTTTA